TCGCACCGTACGTGCGCGCCCGCACGTGGTATTTTGTGGAAGAGCCACACTCAAGGGGCCAAAGAGCCGCATGTGGCTCGCGAGCCCCGGTTTGCCGACCACGGGGTTAGGGGACTGTTAATTCCATGTGATTTAGAAGTTTCATTGCATGGTAGATTTGATTTATGGTGGCGTTATCAATTCAAACTAAACAAAGCCGGCATGGGATCCATATCTTAGCACTGCCTATTATGATGTGAAAATGCATATAACTTAACACCAAGACAGTTACTTCTTGTCAAATTCTACTGTATAAGTCATCTTAGACCAGGTTTAAGTATATATATTTTTTAACATTACATGGTTATTCAGCAGTAATAACAATGTCAACACATCCTTGAATGCCTTCTGTATAGAAACCTCAGTAAGTTCATTAGTTGATCTTTACCAAGAGGATTTCTACACTAGAGAGCTTCCCCGGGATGCAGTGAATTTTGAGCATTAGTTGGGTAAAATCAAACTTAATAACATTTCGGGAACAAAGTCTGTTTAGCTTTTATTTTTTAACTTAGGAAAATTCGTTCTGAAGGACTTCGTTCATGTTTCCGCTCCTGAGGGTGGCAGTATCCTGGCAGCATCTAGTGCCCTCTGCTGGCATCGCTTTTATCGGATCTCTTGACTTCTCATTTTTACAGCATCTCTTGTAATACTATTTTTAAATATTTAATTTGTCCACAGAGGCAACATCCAGTTTGAGAGTTACTTAAAATAGCCATAACTATAATTAACATGATAGTTTTCAGTCAATGAAATTTGGTTTGGGTCTTTAATTATTATCTATAAATTGAAGGGTATTTTAATTTATGTAATAATTGCAAACAGCAAATATGTTACTAATTACATCTTTTCTTTCTGTAAATACAGAGCTTTATTTACAAGAAACATTTAAGCCTTTAGTGAATATATCTCCAGATGCAAGGTAAACTTGGGCCGTTTTTCTCCTTTGAAAACATTCACTGAGATCCATCTGTTTTGTTACAATGATTGATTGGTTAATAGATTTTTCTTATCTAGATAAGGGCCAGCCTCCTTAATTCCAAATATTAAATTCAGTAAGTCTAGAGATAATAAAAACCACAGCTTCTATTGATGGAAGGGATTGATCATGGACTAGGGAGCTGGTCATACTAAGCAGTGTTAAAATCCAGGTCACCTGTAGCAGAAGTCCTGTAGGGAGCTCATGAGGACTGCAGGTTCCTGGGCTCTGCCCCACCTGTGGAACGGTCAGTGGGAGTTGCCCAGGAATGTGAGCTTGCTGACGTGCTGTGGAGCTGAAAAGTCAGTCAGTCTCAGCCATCGGTCCCGAGGGGGCCCGGAAGAAGGGCTGCCCTCTCCAGTCTTCCAGCCCAGACATTTTTTTTACCAAGCCTCTGCGATGGCTCTTGTCCATTTCCACGCTTATATGGAAGCATTCTTAACTCTAGAACCCCAGCGAGAAAAAGTGGAATGTTGATTTTTAGTATTTTTATTTCCAAATCCCAACAGACACACCTACCATGCCTCCTGGTTGGCAGTCACAGGAGAGGCCAGAGCTGCCCAGAGTGGCAGGCCCAGCAGGAAGCAGCCAGCGGCTGGTCCAGGCCTGCCCACCCCCACCCCCCTAGCTGCCTCTGCCGCTGGTGGTGTCGCCCGTTAGCTTTCCTGGGGGTTGGCGCCTGTCATTTCTCAAATAAAAGCAGTAAATGTGCTTCTAGAAAACCGCCAGAGATTTGTAGCTCACACTTATGTTTGAGATTTATTAGCACAGATTGTGGGGGGAGAAATCAGAATATTTACCGAGATCTCCAGTTTAAAACTTTCCCAAACCACTGTTACAAGTCATTCAACCTCTTATGATTGTAATATAAAAACACTGGAAATGCTTTGAAAGCAGGGGTGGTCCAGAGCTTTCTAATTTGTCCTGAAAGCCTCCTAACAACTTTAATGGCTTTTCCCACAGCCTCTTCGATGCTGTAAACTCGTTGATCAAAAATAAAATCCACAGATTGCCAGTTATTGACCCTATCAGTGGGAATGCACTTTATATACTTACCCACAAAAGAATCCTCAAGTTCCTCCAGCTTTTTGTAAGTAGTTTTTAGTGTTTCTAAAGACATAGCTGCATCTACTTTATAACTAATTTACTTCAAGTAAATTGGGTCCTGTTGCCCTCATAGCAGAAATCGTTAGTTGTGAGGTCTCCATTTCTAAACTTCAGTTTCTCAACTTACTGCTATTTGAATTGTACATTCTCAAACGTTGATTCCAATTAAAAAGTATCCAAATAATAAAAACACTCGGAATTCTCTATTTAAATTAGAATATTTTATCACCTAAAATATTCTAATTTGCAAGTCAGTCTAATTAAGGAATTGCTACACAAGATAAATTGAGCCAATATTTATAGCAAATTGCCTTACGCTGCTTTATTGGGATCATGGTTTTGGAAACATATATTCAAAAAGAACTGTCCCCAGAATTAGCTTATTAACGGCAGCCATGAGAGGAAAACCCAAAGCAAATAAAATTTTGGCAAGAGAATAATACCATGTTGGTCCAAATTAGGGCTGTGTCATCTGTAAGTTTTCTCAGCTGCATTTGGAATGAAATGGTTTCATCATCGTACAAAACTTAGACCCTTTTCGGTCGGCAGGTTTCAAAGAGGCTCAGAGGGACCAAGTGTGTTTGATGTTACAGGCAATTGGTCAGCCAGAACCAGTAGGCGGCTTCATTCATGGTTCAGGAGAGATCGCTTGAAGAGTCTTTTTTTTTTTTTTAAGAAGTTACTAGACATCAACAATGTGCCTCCGATTAGCTCTCCCATTCCTTACCCAGCTTCAATAAGGCAGTGGATGGCGCTCTGGAGTGGGGAGCACCGCCCACCTCTGCTGGACAGAGCACCGAGGGTGCAGTCACTGGGAGAAACTCCTGTCCATCAAACCAGTCCCATATTTTAATAGTTTACGTGGAAAAGTAACACTCTTCATGTTTAAAGTAATGCAAAGGAAGAAGGTAGGAAGGAGAAGAGTCATTTACAAGAAGGCATGAGGTTTGGTAGAAAGATGGTCCAGGGAGGAAGAATTGGGGACATGTAGGCGCTACGTTGGTCAGACCTGACCTCAAGTGAGCTGGGAACAAAGTCACCTTCGCAATGAGCTTTCACAGGACCGGGGTGGAGCGGGCATGAAAGGCCCACAGGCCCGAGCCCAATTGACCCCTTTGAGACAGCATTTTAAAGCAGTTCTAATCCCAAGAGCTAAATACTGTTAAGCATTTACAATAAGATAGGCACTGTCCTACGCAGGTCACATGATGAATCTAATCCTCACCACCACCCTCTCAGGTAGGTATTTTTATTAATCCCGTTTATAAGTGATGAAACCCAGCAAGGTGGAGTGACTGCCACCGTCACTGCTGGCAGGCCGACCAGCAGCCTTTCTCAGCCGCTGCTTCCCCCGACCCCACCGCGAGTCCAGTGACTCCGAGGCCAAGTGGTCGGTTCCGGCACCTTCCCACGGCTCCGCTGCCTTGGGAAAGGAGCAGCAGTTTGAGACGGGCCTCTGGTGTTTTCTCCTCTAATAATACTAGAGGAGGTTGCCTCTGCTGGTACTGCCTTGTATTTGGGCCAATATGGTAATTAGAGCCGTGCTAGGAGAATAGCCGAATAGCTAGAGGTTTTCTGATCAAAATACAGAACTTTAAAGAAGTTTCAAAACCTGACTTTCACTGAACTGTGAGCTCATTTTCTGAGAAAAGGGAGTGTTCCCCTTGGGGACATTGGACCGTCAGCCGAAGCGCACAGTATAGAACGGGTTATCCTGCGTCACCACGGGCTAGATGACCTAATAGGGCTTTCTTTTTCTCTCTAAATTTCTAGGAGTCTCATGATTTGAATATTGATGAACTCTTTGACTTGAACATTTTGTTTCTTCTAATTGTTCATCTTTCCCGATAATTATAAGGTACACCAGGAGGATGGAATCAGCTACACCCTGTATAAAAGGTGGACTTTTGAAACCATAGACCCTATTTTGTTTTAATCGCACGTGACCCCTAGACTTCTCTCTTCTGACTTCTCCCTCCTCCTCTAAAACAGCCGTGAAAAAAAGAAAAGTTCACTATTAAAGGATTTTTAAATTCTGTTCAGTTGGCTTGTCCTTTACTCCTAGTAGACAAAAACTGGAGTCCTCCAAAGGAGAGTTGGGTGTGAGTGGAGGCGGATGGTGTGAGGACGAGCTTACAGCTCGGACAGCCACCGTCAGACACTTGGGTTTGGACGTGTGTGGGTTCTAATAAGTATCACCTAGTGAGGGCCCAGGAGCAGGGGTTTCCCACAAATACTTACAAATAAGGATTCTTGGTGGCTTCTGGGCCTTAACTTCCAAAGAGACCCGTTATTCCCTTCTGTCCTCTTCTCAGTGGGCAGAGAGAAGGGGGAAATGTTACCCTGTTAGTACTTTGCAGTATTTTACTAAGTAGTTAGAGATACTGGACTTAAACTGGTTTGAACAAAAGACAGTTCTTAGAGTCACATTTTCGTATTGACTCAGATTGTTAGAGAACACTGGCTTGACTCTGTCGCGCTGGTTTTTCATTCGTGTGGGTGTGTGAGCGTGAAGAAGGCCTGTTTGGGTCTAGAGCGTTTGCACTTGTCCTCCCGTTCAGATGTCCGATATGCCAAAGCCCGCCTTCATGAAGCAGAACCTGGACGCGCTGGGAATCGGGACCTACCACAACATCGCCTTCATCCACCCCGACACGCCCATCATTAAAGCCCTGAACGTCTTCGTGGAGAGACGAGTGTCCGCCTTACCTGTTGTGGACGAGTCAGGTCTGTTTGGCCATAAACAGAAAAACTATTTATCTCAGTGAAGTTACTGTCAGATGACCTCGCCCCTGAGAGAAGTGGGGGAAATGAACATTTAGACATGGTGAATAAATTCAGCATTGAGGAGCTCTCAAGATAATAAGAACTTTAAACTGGCATATTCTCACACTTTCCATTAATACAGGATTTCACGTTCATTTAAAAATAGACACGCTCGTTCTATTTAGCAATATGTAATTCTTAACCATGGCCCAGTTAAGATTGATTTTAAATGTTATTTTTTTGTTCCTAAGATACTTTTCTAACATATATTTTCATTTTTAGGGAAAGTCGTAGATATTTATTCCAAATTTGATGTAATTGTAAGTATTTTTAATTTTGTTAAACCTGTCATCTAAAATGCATTTAAAACATACTGATTCGTTTTTGTGGTTTTCCATCATTTAATGATTTCTAGGTTTTTAGAGTGTAAAGATCTTATCAGAGAATTCCATAGAGGCCCTGTAGTAATTGTACTTTTAATAGTCATTGGTTTAGCAATGAATAATATACTAGCAGTATTTTATAAATCTCCGTCTTTTCAGTACATGTATAGTTTATCCATCCCCGCAGCATGCGTATATATTTTAAATGGTCTTTGTTCTATGTGGAGATGTTGTTTATTCCACCAACGGGCACGTGTTTAGTGCATCTGAACTTAGTGCACGTGAACTTGTAGTCACGTGCATCTGTTGTTTGATGATCGGGGACAACTGTCCTAAAGAAGACAGCAAATGTACCAGATAGTTACGTAAATCCCACGTGCATCCTGGTTTAAATCTAGGTTGAGTTTGGTGCTCCACCTTCCCACATGATGCTTTTTTTCTCGTTCATTTGAAATGGACTTCCTTAGAGCCTTCCATTCCTTCTAAGAACGGGAACTGAAACTTGGTAGTGCCACGTGTGCGCACCATGGGGGCCGTCACATGGACCCCAGCCTTGAACACTCCTTTGCAGCTGCCCCAACGCCTCTCTTTCATCCTATTCTGTTTAACATAAGAGACGCCAGAAAATACGGCCATTGGAACTTGGCTGCGTGGGGTCTGCTAAGGTTAATGAGAACCCGAGGGGCTCCTAAGGAGGGTCCATCGACACTTCTTCACCCGACGCTAGTCCGACTCTCAGAAGACGACTTATTCAGGAGGGAGCCTTAGTGGGGAGGGGATACCTGTAGAACAGTGGTTCTCAACCTTGGCTGCACATTAGAATCACCTGGGAATCTTTTTAAAATCCTGATTTCTGGGCCTCATCCTCCGGAAATTCTGTTCCTTTGTTACTAATGTTGTGGCCTCACCCCATAACAAAGAAACAGAATTTCCGGAGGATGAGGCCCAGAAATCAGGATTTTAAAAAGATTCCCAGGTGATTCTAATGTGCAGCCAAGGTTGAGAACCACTGCTTTAGAAGGACATGCAGTCAAATTAACAAAGTTGCTCCACCATTAAGGTCCGCCTTGTAAGCTTTAATTATCACTGCGATGACACATTACAAGCTCATGTGCTGGTACTGAATATGCATTGATTGATGTGTTTAAAATCAGGTGGCTTTAAACTTACTAATCGCGGTCACTAGTGTGAACTTAAATGAAAGCATGTCATGCATTCTGATACTTTATTACAGAACCTTGCTGCTGAAAAAACATACAATAACCTAGATATCACCGTGACCCAGGCACTTCAGCACCGTTCCCAGTACTTTGAGGGCGTGGTCAAGTGCAGTAAGCTGGAAATATTGGAGACCATTGTGGATAGAATAGTAAGAGCGGAGGTGAGATGGCTGTTCCACATTCCTTCCCCCCGCCCCCCACCCCCCAAGTCATACGAGCTCTAACCAGTGAATGGCGCCTCAGGAATTGTGAATCTCAGGACCGGCCCATGGGGCCACCTTCAAGTTCGGTCGGAGGACACAGTTTCCCTGTTCCAGAACCTAGCATGTTACCTGGCACATAGTAGGTCACCTGTAAATGTTCACTGAATGCAATTTATAAGTCCTGATATCAAGTAAACTGGCAAGATACTGCCATGGTTTAAAAAATACATACCAAAAAAAAAAAAATACATACCGGAGGAAACAGGTTTCCAGAGCTTCAAGTTCCATAGGGTATTTACAAATCAAAAGTTAAAAAGGTGCAATTATATGGTTTTAACAAAGTAAATAATAAAATGTATTCTGATTTTTTCAAGTTAAAGTAATTTTCTCCTCCCCGCGCCCCCGCCCCCCCAGTACCTCCCTCCCGATTTAGGTACATAGCAAATGTCTAGTAACCCTGTCTCCTGACCCTCAGCACTCGTGTCCCGTTATTCTTACTGCCTGTAGGATTTTCAGGTATAAGGGGACATGAGTGCCGAGGGCCAGGAGACGAGGTTACTAGACGTTTATCTCACTCAGTATGCCCATTCCTAAAATCATTCTTTTCGTTCCTTGTTAGACAGGGAGAGGAATGTTCTCCTGTTCATCACTCTAGGACTGAAGGATGCAACTATGTTCCTTTTAGAACAACCCCTAATTAAGCAAAATCAATTCATGACGATAAGTCTGCTTTGATGATTATCATAAATGCAAGAGCTCAGTCCAAGAATAAAAGTACCTGATTATTTTATAGGCTCATAACAGGCGACTAGCTTGCTTTCTGAGAGCTTGGTGTGAAGCAGGGCGCAGTGCTCCATCCTGGGAGCCAGCCTTGCGGAACCCACCCAGCCCGGCCCCCTGCCCGCCTCTGAGGTGACTTCCAGCTTCAACTGTCACGGCTGGCAGGGTGTCACTAGAATCCCAATATGAAGTCTTCCCTTTTTCTTTTCTTTTTTAAAATATATTCTTATTGATTTCAGAGATGAAGGGAGGAGAGATAGAAACATCAATGAGAGAGAATCAATGATCAGCTGCCTCCTGCATGCCCCCCACTGGGGATCGAGTCCCCAACCTGGGCGTGTGCCCTGACCGGGAATTGAACTGTGACATCCTGGCTCATAGGTTGACGCTCAGCCACTGAGCCACACTGCCTGGGAGAGTCTTTCCTTTTTCTACCTGAATTTAATACCAATCACCACTTGTTTTGCAGAGGGGTTTAATTGACTTAGGAATATGTCTTAACTTTTTTATTAATGTCCTTAGAATTGCGTGCCTTTTGAAGATCATAATCAGAAATAGGTAAGGCATCCTTCCTATTTATAAGCACAATGGACATCCAAATGGTGGAATCCTTTAAATGATAAAAATTCATGTTGAAGAATTTTGATGCTATAGAAAAACATTAACAGAATATTGCTAAGAGAAAAAGCCCATTACAGTACTACATAACAGCATGACTCTTTGTGTTAATACACATGCATATACATAGAAAAGCATCCAGAAAGACTCCCACCACAGCGGTAACAGGGACTGTTTCCGGGGGACAGAGTTCTGGTTGTGCCAGGCTCCTCTGTGTCCCTGGCTCTCTGTGAGCACCTGTCACGTCAGGTAGAAGAAAAGGTACCTGGCCAGTCCTAGAAGTTCATCTGGTGAACAACGAAACTTCATTGTCGTATGAAATAGGTCATTGAGAAAAATATGGAATTGAACCGTTTTCTCAACTTATCCATCCTGGCTTTCCTCATTAAAATAATTCTTTCACCAGGTGACTTCTAAGTGGGGGACAGAGACCAATTTTCAGCTTCAGTATAGTTTGTTAGGAGAAGGGTATGCGGTACATTTCTCCAAAGGAGACGTACATATGGACAACAGACACATGAAGAGATGCTCAACATCATTAATCAACAGGGAAATGCAAATTAAAACCACAATGAAATACCACTTCACACCTGTCCGAATGGCTAATACCAATAAATCAATAAACAAGTGTTGGCGAGAATGTGGAGAGAAGGGAACCCTCTTGCACTGTTAATGGGAATGTAAATTGGTACAACCACTGTGGAAAACAGTTTGGAGGCTCCTCAACAATGTATAAATAGAACTACCTTATGAGCCGGCAATTCCACTTCTAGTATTTATCCAAAGAAAATGAAAACACTAATTTGAAAAGATATATGCACCCCATTTGTCTGTAGCATTATTCACAACAGCCAAGATGTAGAAGCAACCTCAGTGTCCATCGATAGATGAGTGGATAAAGAAGGACATACATACAACGCAATATTATTCAGCTGCCAAAAAAAAAAAGCCATGAAATCCTGCCATCTGTAACAACATGGGTGTACCTAGAGAGTACTATGCTGGGTGAAATAAGTTAGAGAAACACAAATACCATATGATTTCACTTACATGTGGACTCTAAAAAATAAACAAATGGATAAATAAGTCAGAAAACAGACCCATAGGTATAGAGAACAAGCTGATAGTTGCCAAAGGGGAGAGGGCTGGTGAACAACAACAAAAAAGACAAAATATAAAAAGAACTTCCCCCTCTTTCCTTCTCCTTCCTGCATCCCCATTTTGTACCAGGGGGACCAGGTGTTAATGGTTCCGTATGGAGAAGAGGGTCTCCAAAGGAACTGACCAGTAGTAAGTTCTAAAGCTTTTAAATCTGAGACGTGGGATGTTCTTCCTGCTCTAAGGATGCTTCACTGTAGTAATATCTCAGTACATGACCTACTTGTTTATAAAAGACTTTCAAGTAGAAAAAGAGACATGACTATAACCTACTTTGCCTTACTATTCATTTATCCTCTGAACACTATTAATATATGAACTTCATAGAGACATGATAAAAAAATAAAAAACAATCCCAGGGCGGTGGCCTGTTAGTGCTCATTTGGACTTTTTCCCATGTGAAACAGAATCTGATAGTTGTGAGAAACTGGGATACTTTTAAAAATAAAAACTAAGAGAATATGATAGCTACATTATACTTCATGTTTTGAGTTGTATCTTTCATATGCTAATATTGTGAAATTTGAAAACTCAGCTGGACATGGCTGGCTAAATTGTTCTTAAAAGTAGGCAGGCATGCCCTTAGCCGGTTTGGCTCAGTGGATAGAGCGTCGGCCTGTGGACTGAAGGGTCCCGGGTTCAGTTCCGGTCAAGGGCACACGCCCAGGGCGCAGGTTCAATCCCCCAGTAGGGGATGTGCAGGAGGCAGCCAATCAATGATTCTCTCTCATCATTAATGTTTCTATCTCTCTCTCCTTCTCCTTTCCTCTCTGAAATCAATAAAACAT